TTGTCTGTGATTTTCGTGACTTTTTTTGTATATTTCAGTCAGTTTTTCCAGTGTACTCCTGCAAGTATTTTTGTTAATATATTTTGATGAGCCCGCCCTGCTCCTCCAGCCTCGCTGCTTTTTGGGGTCCTCGACCTACCATCACACAAAACATGTTTCATTATTTTATGATTGAAGAAAAATTTTAAAGACACTCCAAAAAAATTTAAAAAAGCAACCCTTTCCAACTTTGCAATTGGAAAGGGTAGTAGCGCATGATGGAAAATATGGCTGTAGTGTCACTGTCGTGTGAGAAAACACTTACCGGTATGTTCATTTTTGTCATTTATTTATTTTTTACATTAAAGGGGTGTTTCAGACATCCCATTAACGTTAAAGTTCGAAAAAAAAAAGACAAAAATGGACATGCGTTTTTCACAGTCGATCACTCATGCAAGGTGCAGTAATGTTGTGGATGCAAAACTGTGAATTCCCCCAAAATGCAAATATGATACAAGGGCTTCCCTCCAAAACTCAGCAGTTGGTTGGACATTATAAAATGCTGTTAAAAAAAAAAAAAAAAAAAATACACACATACCCGCGACCTTTGTGAGTATAAGTGGATAACAAGATGGATATACCTGTATGTGGTGTACGATGATGATAAGCCTCATCACCACAGTTTCTTTGCCCAAGCTTATGAATATGACAAATAGATGAGAATTAGAGGTGTCAAGCAAATGCAGGAGATTGTTCTTTTTCTTTCCAAGTGATGTGTTTGTATTAGTGCTTGAAAACTGCCCAGGAGAGGGCGCCTTTTATTCAGTTGATTAGCCGTGCTCACACACTTAATGTCAAGTTCATCAACTAACTCAGCTGCAATAACAATATTTTTGCGGTAATTTTTGGGCGAATTCCTTTTGCTGCTCCTCAGTTATTCATGACATTTTCCAATGCATGTCATGACACCCTGTAATCTCATAACATGACAAGATGTCCACTGTAGTAACCGCTGTCCCTGAAAGGGTTAATGAGAACCAAAGTCTGACTCAACACTAGATACTCTCATCACCATTCCTCGAACTGCGTTGATGATGTGGAAAAAGTGACAGCGTTTTAATCTGAGAGTTACTCATATGCAAGGTGTTTTATAAAAACAGGATGCCGAGATAATTGTGATGACTGGAGGCAAACTAATTTGACCAAATCAAATATGTTTTCCCATACATGCAATGATACCGTTGATTGTCGTTATTTAATCAAAAGTTCAATTCAACCTTTCAAACTGCAGCCCAGTTTACTTTCACCGTTTTAAAGCTTGAAAACCTCAATTCACAGCAAGATTCCAAGACTCCCCCGGCAAGGTTGTCGCAACCTATTCGTCGGCCTTCGTGTCACGTCAGAGAATGCTATGTGCATACACCAAAGCTTCGAGGTAGAAAACATCAGTTCAGAAATTCTGTCATACACAGAAAAACAACAGGGAAAAAAACCCATTTCTGCAGGGGCAGATGTTGCTGTGATGATAATACAGCCACAATTCAAAGAAATGAGCAAACCAATGCACAGACACATTGTGTTGCATATCAGCAACAAAAGAGAGGTTTTGTTTGCAGGAAGGAAGAGCCGCATGCAATCAAACTGCAGTCGAGAAGTAGGCCTATATTATTAGGAGGACTGCAGTCAGGTACCAGAGTATATCTCCTTTTTCTTCACTCTCATCAGCAAACTCTTCACACCTGTAACAATGTGAACAAGCCCGTCACGATCATTAAATTACTAGCAACTAACACCTGTATTGCAATTCTTGATATGTTGTTTTTATTTGTCAAAAGTTAGAAATTGATTTCTATTTACTCAATCCTCTTTGGCACATTTGTTTTTAATTCATGATGGTGTTTTGTTGGCGGCACTCGTGAGCACATCCGTCTCACAGAAGTCCGGGGTTTGAATCCGGGCACCGGCCTTTCTTTGTGGAGTTTGCATGTGCCCCTGTGGGTTTTCTCCGTGTACTCTGGTTTCCTCTGAATTGTCTTGTGAGTGTAAATGGCTGTTTATCAATGTGTGCCTTGTGATAGGCTGGGGACCAGTTCAGGGTGTACCCCGCCTGCAGCCGCAAGAAAGCTAGGACAGGCCCCAGGATGCCTGTGAATTTGAGCGGTTTGTTATTTGTAAAAAAATTTATTTTGAGAAAAACTTAAATAAATAAATTATGAGACTTTATTATTATATAAGTTAATATTCAATTCCGTTAACACACACACACACACACACACACACACACACACACACACACACACACGTTTACAAAAAGTGCCAAAAATTGATACTGTTGAGTTACGGTATGAACCGGGAATCGGAAATGAACCAGTTCAAACGTGAATGGTACGCATCCTTCCTGCATGGAATACACACAACGAGATAAGAGTAGGAGAAGCAAGTTGCGACTGAGCCCTATTAAAATAACTCATTTTTCACAGATAATTAAAAATATCTGCTTTTGAGAAGTGTCATATTGCCTGTATGCATGTGTTCCTACACCGTTTGTGTGTGACTACTCATTATTTGAAGGATTACCACTACCGGAAGTCGTGAGCATGTCAATGGTATTTGACATTGACTTCAGCATTAGCACTTGTGATTTTTTTAACAAAGCACGTGTTGCATTTCAATATCCAATGTGTGTAATTAATTCTGCTGTGTGTTCAGTTTTGCAATAAACCAATTGGGGCGTCATTAAACAGTTTAAAGAACACTCAAGAAGGGCGGAGTAAACGTTTGCCGCGCGCAAGCAACATGATGCATTCAGGGCAACATCAGACAACTTGCAAGCACACCGCGTCGGCGCATTCATTATTTTTCTTCTAATGTTTGTGAGAAGCCAAAATAGAAATTACAATTAAATTTCGATTCATTGTCCAGCCCTACCCATGACAACACATTCAATTGATCTTATTGTCGCATCACCAGAACGAATGTGCTTTGGAGAGAGGATCTATTTTTGGGAGGTTATTACCTGCATTCCTGTTTGGGAAGATACAGCAATGCTTCTGAAGAATGGCTGGCAACACCTGTGAGGAAACGTGAAAAAAGTCGTCAGTATTAGCAACTCCAAGCAGAGAAAGATTGACAACAAGGTAACATACTGTAGACACAGAGCAGTTTCCCCATTGCCATCAATTTCTCCTGTGTGAGTCCATTGTTATCTTTTACAGGATCATCCAAGTCGCTGACCACCAAAGTCCTGTTTCCAGTTTCCAAAGTTTCTGTCTGCAGTCACACTCAATGAGCTTTTGAATAGTTCATGAAAAGTACATACAGTAACATATACTGTATTCTTGATGTGGTTCGATAAAACCGCAATGGGGTGGGCATATTTCTAATTGGATTTTCATTATGTATCACTTCCACAAGCCTTCCGGAACCAGCAAGTTGAAACTGCAAATACAAGAGCCAATTATTGAACTGTTCACTTGCCGGAGGCTGCACATTCTACTCAATAATGAAAGCTTAACATCTTTTCTCTTGGGGAATCTAAAATTGTAATTGATATAAAATACCGTTTTAGCTGATACTAATCTGGCCCCTGGAGGACATCTGAAAAGGTGGCAGTGCAGAAGTGGACAGTAAAGAAAAAGGGTGTAAATTGCTTTTAAGGTCACTGGATTGTTTGACTTATATGCGCGTCACTGACTGTCAATATTAATTGAGTTCCAAAGGTTTTCTAACAAAAAGAAGCCCAGAGAAGAAATAACGTAGCTCAGCAGTTGCTATCAATTTCCTTTGTCCTTGCCATTGACTGACAGATCCAGAAAGCGCTATCAATTTCCCCCTTTGTCCTTGCCATTGACTGACAGATCCAGAAAGATTACATAAGAAATATCAAAATACCCATCCGACTCCTGTGAATGTATTGCTAACATTGCTCTACACTGACTCTCGGAAATCTAATATACTTTACTGCTAGCTGAGAATGAACTAGATAATTATCCCCTTTAATTAAGCTAAGCAGTGAGGTATCTCTCAAGAGAAAGAGTAGACCAGACTGAAGAAACGGAGATGAACCCAAATGGCTTGTCCCGAACCATCAAATTATTTTATTTTTCTTACGCGGGATCGGTTTGCATTAGCGGCAGCCTAAAAAGGAACGTCTAGACTTCTCTCTCCCCAGCCATTTCATCCAGCACTTCCGGGGGGATTCTACAGGTGTTCCGAGGTCAGCCAAGAGGCATATGCCATTTCCCAATTTCAAGTTTTTGTCCGTTTTTATGTCTTGATGATATTGTGAAACGTTAGAAGTCGCAGCCCAAGTCCTGTTCTACTGAAAGTCCACACAAACTGAGAATGCACTGAATGCCTGGATGTTGTTCTTGTGAGCTATCTTAAACCAAGGATGCACCAGGTTGGTGACTTGTAAAGAAGTGGCTGCGAAAATATTTCAAAATGTATTTGAAAGGTTTTTCTCCCCCCGCTTTATCATTTGGTGGAAATATGAGGAGCAGTTCAAATATAATGAGTCTTGTTCTATTTACCAGACTTATAGTTCTTTTTTAAAATTTTTTTTTATGAATTATCACACACACAATATACTGTGTAGTGTATTATGAAACATCTATTGAAATGCATCGTACAATACGTATACATAACATATGTTGCAAATTGAAACGCCCAAGGAACATTCATCGATTTTAACCAGAGTTTATTGATTAGGAAAAAAAAAAGTTTGAATTTTTTTTTTTTTTTAAAGATGCCATCGCATCGAACCAAAACGTTCTCCTTTGGAATCTAATCAAGAAGAATTAATTTGAATATACCGTATCATATACTGTACCATAAGAGCTGAAAACATCCTTTTGAACTAAATCTCCAGTTTTCGGATGGAAGCGCAGCTCACCCATTCAACAGTAATGTGATACAGCAAGAGAACATCTTTCTTATCTTATAACTACGACAGTGTAAAGATTGCCTCCGTGACGTTTCATAGGTCAACCCGGCCACAAATTTCACTTCAGTAGTCAAGTGTGAAACAAGTGGTGGCTACTGGTGAAAAGTTGGTATGTGGCGATGAAAACAATTCAAATTGATGCTGGTTGGCAGCGATGTACTGTACTGGAGGAGTGAGGAGAACAAACTGTCAGTGCCTCATCTGTGTCTCAGACACACAGAGCTGTCGCTTGCCTTGTTAAAAGGATTACAGACAAGCCATCTAATTTTACATACATCAGTGCTTCAGGCGTCGGCGTTTTGTCTGTTCAAGCGGGGAGGATTGATGACAGACACAAATACAAAACACGCACGGGCAATCCCAGGAACACATAACTGGGACATTTATATTTAGGGGTGCTGAAATGCAATTAGTTTCTTCACAGTCATCATCAATATGAAAAGACAGATCATTTGAATCACTTTTTATGAAAAGGTACATTTTACATGAAGTGCACACACGCTCATGTCAAAACTGCGTATATCGCAACTAAGGGATTTCAATAATTGATTATGACCAACTAGTTTACTTAAGTATGATCAATTTTGCAAGACATCTCGAAAAAAAAAAAAAAGAGATCCTCAAAGATATTTCCACTGAAGCTTTTGGAAATGGACTCACGCTCTTCAAATAAGTTAGCAATGTTCCATCATTGGCAGCACGGTTAGCACGTCCGCCTAACAGTGCAGAGGTGCAGAGTTCGATTCCGGCCCGGCCTTCCTCTTCAAAAGTCAAATTAAGAAACATCTGGCAAAGTAACAGTTGGATGTTCAAGGAAACTTTTAATGTTGTTTATAAAGTGATGTTATAATGGGTTACAGGGTTTAATACAGAAATTTGCAGTTGGGCTCGGTCCCTACTGAAGTGTATAGCGGCGATGCTATTCTTCAATATCTCAAGTACACTTGGACCTCTGTGGACTATTTTTGCTTTGGTTTGACAACTGTAATGACATCATACTAATTTCCCTCGCAGTAATAGATTGATTTTTGGTGGAGCCAGACAGTAGCTTGTGATACAATGATTGTATTTTAAGACAAAAGGGACCTATTAAAATGACAACAAAGTACATGTGGTGTAGCAGCAGAAACACATTTGTGCAGGGTTAAGAGTCTGAAAATAGAGCTTGCTAAATGTTTCAGGACTAGCTCCTCTCCACTCTCGATCAAAATGGCATCACTACTCACATACATGTGGACTTTCAGCCTTGCTTTGCATCTTGAAACAGGTCGTAAGAGCCTTATCGTGTCACTGTCAAGATGGCAAATGTCCACGCAAGCCTTGTATTGATAACTTTGAGATAGCACGGGTGATGTGATGAAGGTTTGTGCATGTGTGCTCTGCTGAAAGACTCGCTTCCAGAGTGCCTACTTCGGGCAGTAAAAGGGTGTTTAGCAATCTATTTTTGTCTTCTGTTCATCAAACATCGTGTTATTTTTTAATTATGTCCTCCTACTTTTATGTAACATAAAAGCCTTGTAGGAATGATTAAGCTTAAATATGAAATATAGATATCCATCTGGATAGGGAAAGGTATAAGTTGGGCGAATCTTAGTGGTGATGTTTTGCAACACACACAGGTCAGGTGTCATGTATGTATTTCAGTCATCCTACAGGGCATGGACTGTTGTCACAAAAGAGATTAAATTTGAAACCTAAAACAAAGAGTTTTCCCCTTCATCGTGGGCCAGCTGATCAACCAACAGCTTCACAAAAAGATCTTATAGCGTCCGCTTCATTCTGTGTGTGAGAAGAGGCCGGAGTTGTGCTAGTACAACTAAAGTCAGCTTCACCATGAATTTGTGTCTGCTCACAAGGCCCTGAGCATCTGACAGTTCCTGGTTGGGAAGAACATCATGGTGCTGGAGAAACCTCCCTACTCAGCTTCTCCAAGTCTGTCTTAAGGTGGGTCAACAAGGGGACCTGGTCTGAAGACGTGGATGACATTGAGATGGACGGTGCGGCAGCTGCAGGAAGAATGCTTCCGGATTGCATGAAGGCCCTTTTTTTCCCTCTGTCTCAGGTTGACTATGGGTTGATATGTAGGTCATGTATATTGCTTATACACTAATAGACAATCATTGTTGCTAATTGTGTGATTGGAGAGTTTTACTCTGAATGTTCCAGAGATCCTGTTTTAATGTCAGTGTCATCTTGAGAATAATAATGCTGCCCCGAGGTAATGTCACCATGGAGGTCTGTGTGAATCCATTTTGATGCATGTTTCAAGACATAATTAATCAACATTCAATACCACACACAACAAATTCTATTCAATCCCTTTATTGATTTTCAGGTCCATCCCTCATCTAAATGTACCTTAGCCTCAAGAGCAATACCATCACGCTTTAAAACACACACACACACACACACACACACACACACACACACACACACACACACACACACACACACACACACACGGGAACCTTAACTACCCTTTAAAGTTGTACAGTTCAGATTTTGACCCAGAATTACTGTAAAAGCATACATATGTCGTAACATAAAACTTAAAAGTTTTAAGAGAAACCTCAGTTCACTGAAGGTATTTTGCTTTTTCTTTGGATTTTGATGGCTTATTTGCAAGAATTATTCCCAAAGTTTGTGGGAAACATGGGGACTCATTCAAAGTGGAAAAGCAAATGACAGTCGAATTGTTGTTGAGTTGAGTGGTTGGGTGAAGTATTTCTTCTTGCCAGGTGTAGACCATCGGCACAGGCAGTCATGGGGACTAGTGAGAGACTAACTAAGCAACATAAAATTAATAATTTTTAATAAGTACTTCAGGTTACGGTGTGGACAGAGAAGACTACTAGAAAATAACACCACAAAGGTTAATCGTGTGAGGAATATTTACCTATGCAGTACTTCAATAAAACTGATATTCCCCCTTCTTTTTAACACCTTAGTGATTATGATGTCAGGTGATGTGACGATGGCAGCAAGCAGTGTCATCACAGTGTGTGCTGTGTATGGTGTATTTTTGCTATGCTGAAGCTGCCATTCCTCCACCATATAACTTTGTCTTCCCATGTCTCAGAAAATCTACTGGAGCTTACATATAGATCCAAACAGACAAAGATAAAGAATGAAAATCGTCATTCTCAAAAAAAAAAAAAAATAGGCACTACGAGTGATCTTATCCTGTACTTGCTTTACCAGAATGCAAGTGGGAATAGCATGTTTAAAAAAAAAAGCTGCAAGCTATTATGCAACCTGTTTAATGCACATTTGTAGAGGTACAAAATCCTCAATTCATGCAAAGCCTATTTTGTGACACACTCTTATTCAGTCCTGGCAAGGACTCAATAATCATTGAAGCATATCCACCCACAACAACTACAGTGTGCAGGGAAGAAAATACAGGGTTCTGTTAAAGAAGTTAACCTTGTACTCAGCAGGCTTCTTTCAGCCTCAGTTGCTCCTCATCCACACCTCCTCCCCATGAATTGATGTATTTGCAGAAAGCTGAGGGATGGTAATTCATGTCCATCCGGTTTTAAACAAACCACCTGCGCTTTTGTATTAGAATCAAAATGATTGAGACATTAGCGATGCTCTCACAGTTAAATCGTGTAGAATTAAGGGTACAAGCAATGCATGTGTCTCGTGATCTAATTAGATCTTGAATCTTACGTATATCTCTAATCATACATATGCAAAGCCCATTCTGAATTATATTTTGTGTATCTGATAAAATACCTCATGCACATGATCACATTTTTGTGATGCAATGTGAACACAAAGATTACCATGAAAGAGGGAGGAGGGTGATTACCTTCTTAAAAGCTGGCATTCTAGGTGGTTCCTCCTTCTGCAAAGTCGCTTCACATGTTGAAATCCCAAGCCAAGTTCGGAAGGCACGTTAAACCCAAGTCAGCCAAGTGATGATGCTGAGCCACGAGGTGCACTCGAGTTGTCTCCTCATTCTTCCCCTCCTCGCTCTCGCCCTGCAGCTGGCTCGACGAATGTTATTCCAGCATTCAAACACCGGGGGGGCTGTGGTGCATAATACAGAACTGTCATTCAAAAGTTCTCGGCTCCTGTACAGCAATTTACATTGACCAAATAATCACCTGTCCAATATATTTTGGCCGGGAGGACAAGTGTTTTTTGAAAGGTGATCATTGGGATCACATATTCTACTGAGTTGTCTCATCAAAGTATAGTTGTTGACATCTAGTAGCATTCATGTATGCACTTGATTTACACGCCGAATCATAGAACGTATGTGACACATACTTTTATCGCACATATCGGTGCTATAAAGTAGACAGAGCTTTTCTTATATGGACGCCAGCATGCAAATGCTAATATGTTGAAGGGTGTTCCGGTCCCGGTTTGTTGCCACTTCAGTCCTTCGCTGTCGTGATGCTCGGGTGATGGGGGGACGTGTCACACGTCTCGCCGACTAGGCGCAAAGGCTACTCTTTTGGTTGGTTGAATATAACGCATGGTGTTATTTCATTTGTAAGCCTGTCTAAACTATAGTCGTGTGGCAAGCTAATGCTAATGTTTATAAGGTTGCTCGAGAGTTAGCTAAGTTAGCTAGCAATCTTCTCGACACTATTCCGCGACAAGTCACAATTTAGCGTCTTCGCTTTCACGCAGTCCAGCTGACATGGCACACAGGAAAGAAGGTATGTATCACACATGCCGTCATGATTAGCTGTACTACATGCCACGAGCGTGTTTCGTTTGTATTAAGTGGCTAGCTAACTTTGCTAGCCAGCCATGTTTGGAGCTTCTGGCTGTAAACAAATGCACGTGTTTCTCTGTCTCAAGCTTATCGCCGAAATTAAATGGAAAAGTATAGACAGAAGAGTTCCAATTTTGACTTGCAGTCACTGCAGGTAGTGCAATGTTACTGTGAAATACACGCACAATCGACTTGATTAATGAATTGCGACAACGCAATATCTGCCCTCAGGTAAGGTAGGTACGGTAAAAAACTGGATATCTGACAAAAAAAAAAACAACTCCGTTTGAATGCAGTGGTTCTCGTTGTCCACCCAGGACCCGCCTTCCGCTCCTGTCGTCAAGTCAGGACCCAAATAATTGTTATTTTTGAATTATCAGTGCAATAACAGAATAACACAGACCTGATATTTTAACTTCAGCGAAATGCCATATTAGTGGTTTGCCTTCTTTTTAAGAAAAAAAAAAGACATACGAAGGATTATCCTAAAACAACAACCTAAATATACATGGTTATTGTTTCCGTAAGCATCTGACAAGAGCAAAAGAAGCTGTTTTAAGGCTGTGCTCGAAATAGTTTGCGCCACCTTCGTTTCCTTTCATGCCTCACTCACATTCGTTATTTTTACCTTTTATCAATTAATAAAATCACCATTTAAAAACTGCATTTATGTTTACTTGGGTTATGCGTCTCCGATATTTATATTTGTTTGGTGACCTGATACATTAAAGTGGTGCAAATCATGCAAAAATTAAATAATTTGAGAAGAAGGCAAATACGTTTTCATGGCAGTTTAGTAACAGTGCAACTTAATGTGTTCTTTCATTAAAAGTGTGAGTCACTTGCCCTGGGTATGAGATCAACAATTTGTAATACAGTTCGTGTGCATTCCGTACAGTATTCCAGTCCAAGGTACTCCAGAAGCTTTACCCTGCAGCCCCTAAATTGGAGAAGGAACTCTCCCCATCATGCATACTAGCAGATGCTTTGGTAAAGAAAAAACAAGTGAAAAGAAAAACTCAGCAGGATATTCCTCACAGTAAGATTTGTTGTATTTCTTGACATTGTGTGTAGTTTGCATTACTTCTTGTTTGATGATTAGTATGCTCTGTTGGGGCTTATGGTGAAACTTTTTTATTTTTTTAATATAATAGGTAATGCAACAATGACACCAAGTGCAGCCATTCGAAGAAGAAAAATGTACACGGTTCTACCGCCTCCTGAAGACTTTGATGCAGAATCGGTGAAATGTGTTACATTATCAAAGCTTGAGAGCACAAAGAGTGGGGAGGGCCCATCTGGTAAGGCAGTGATCTTCTATTGATGTGAATTTGTGATTTGCATCATAATGATAAATCGGATTTACAAAACATATCTACCTTGAGGTGGCCTCGGTTATTGAGTTCCAGTCAAGTATTTCACTCTGTAAAACTGAGAAACAGACTGTGAAAGTTTTGTTGTTTCTTAGATGCAGCACATATGGTCTTTTAAGCCTGCTGGTCAGATGTTTCATGGAAGAAATTAGTTTATCACTGAAGCTATATTTCATCAAATGTGATGTTTTTTTTTTTTTTTAAATGGTGATAAAGTGGTGTGCCGCGTTTGTGTCTCTTTGCACAAATCACATTTTAATTACAGTTTAATTACAGTGGTGGCTACTTTCACAGCTCACTGTGCTTATCATCTAACTTAATGTTGACCCCACCTGACGTTATCTCAATGAACAGGACAAAGTTAGCTGGCAAAACAGCTTCTGTTGGTCGATTTTTGAATATTTGTCTCTGATTTCACTTGCCACACTATTAGGTACACCTGTGCAATGGGATTAAATGGTGGTGCCAATCAAAATAAATCATTCATTTTTATACAGTGTCCGCTTCAAGTGAATGATGATTCAAAAGGTGTATGTAATCTGGAAGTGACAGTGGTTTTGATTAGATACATAAAGCAATGATTAAAATGGAATCTGTAAAACTGTGATTTAGGTTGCCTCTTTTTGCAAGTGTGTTTTAGTACAGTCGTCAATATTGTTAGCATGATTACTCGTCCCTTGACTGAGTTGACTCAGCTCACTCCTAAATCTTTCGCCTTTGTTTTCATCATTTCTTTGTCACAACGGGATGTAAGTGACAATCACAATATATTCTTTAAAAAAAAAAAAACAACTCAGAATTCTGGAAAACGTTGCGTAATGTAGGTAAATAGTTTTCCCTATATTGTAGTGCTGTAACCTGATGTTTGAAGATCATTTAATTTATGGCTATGACTCAATCTGTCCAATTGTTTTGCTTTGAGGTGAAATGACTGATGCTTTTTGATTTAAAAAAAAAATCAATCAATTAATAAAACAATTTCTTATTCATGCCCTTCAGAACATGACATACAGGAGTGCAGTCAAGAGCTTGACCAAGAGGTCGAAACAAATGAACAGAAAAGAAGAAGGAAGAGAAGGAAAGGGAGACTAAACCTTCATGCGGATAAAGACGGCACAACTTCAACAATAGTGTCGAGTTTTGTTCAGATTGGGACGCTGATGGATGAGGAAGGAGTGCGAATGAGCCGGAACAAGAAAAGGAAACTGAAGAAGAAACGGCACAAAGAGAAAATGCTCTCAATGGGTTTGATGCCTCGGGCTTCTGCCCTGGAGTTCACATACCAAAGAGAAAATGAGGAAGATGAAGAGGAGGAGGAGAAGGAAGAAGAAGATGGGATGAGAGCTGCTGAGGTGGCAGATTTCCTCAGGACCACAATGGAAATCTATAAGTCAGACTGTGAGTGCTGAGCTTTGTTGATCAAAATTGGTATGTTTATTGACTGTGTTGGACACAGATTAAGGCAGTTCTAAATGTCCACACAGTCTCACGGTGGTTTATTCAATTATAAATTTGATAGTGTTGCACCAATTAATGGGGCGTCCTGTGGTCATTTAGCTTTCCTGCACGGGGAGAAGCTTCCTCACCTGCCTGGCGTGTTGGAGGATCTTTTGAGCGGCATCGCCAGCGGAAGCAAGCCCGCCCCTCTCTTGAAGCATCTTCACATTCTCAAGCGATGTATTCAACACAAGGACACAGACACACTGGGAAAGGCACTGCAGGACCTCAACAACAATACCCTGATGTCCGCAGGTTAGTTATTTAGATGTTGTAGGCGTCAAACTCAAGGCCAGATCCAGCAATTACCGTTTTTTTGTAGCCCGCAAAAGCTTGCCGCAATTATTCCTTGAATTCATTCAAATGCCATTTAATGCAAGTGCCTTCTTGTGGTATGATGGGCTAGTGTTGTCACTCAGGCTGCCATAAACAATTATTTTGCTGGGCTACTAGTCACCGATAGTCGTCGCAAATAGTCAACCCATCGGGATCATTTGTAAATTGCACCAGGAAGCGGCTACTCTCGTAAAACTTTAATTGTGAATACATTTGAAATTTATGTCCCCCCCCCCCAAAGATTTACTCCGAGTGGATTTGTCTTTAATTTTATGTGCAATACAGTTTGATCGTTATTTAAGAAAAGTTTTTCTTTTCTGATGTATTTATGTATTTATGGGTATTTAGATAACTTCACAGATTTAACAATGTTTAAGTAATTTATTGAGTATTTAGGTAGCGTTTAGGGAATGGTTCATAGATTTAAGAGTATTTAGATGACTTTTAGGAAGTATTTACCCATATCTAGGAGTATTTTCATTACTTTTAGGTAGTATTTCAGTACATTTTGAGAGTATTTCAATCATCTTTGTGGCGTATTCCAGTAAAGGTAAGAATGTTTTGGTTACTTTTAAGAAGTGTCTGAATACATCCAGCATCGTTTAGGTCACGTTGTAGATGAACACATGGGCCTACTACGCACCTCTATTTTAATGTTGGTCATTATGGTGGTACATGAAGAGCATTTTTTTTTTTTAATGTGGTATTTAGTCTAAATGGTTTGAGAACCACTGCTCTAAAATATCACAAAATGTGCTGGAAAAGATTTTTAAAAATGTGTATTGGAAAAGTACTTCAACTTGACATGTGGATGAACTATAAAATAATGAAATAATGAATAATAATTAATGTGCACAACATTTCCTCGAGACTTTTTAAGGTGCTGCAGTGTGTCTTGTACAACTTTCAGAGGCACATTTGTAAGGTATGAGGTTCTAATTTATCACAAATACGTTTGGTGGGCTTGAGGTCAGGGCTTTCAAGTTCTCCCTTTGCCCAAAAACTTTGGCTCTACAGTCCTTGTTTAATGCTATGGAGTGCTGTCACACTGGAACAGAAAAGGTTCTTCCTCAAACTGTTCCCACAGAGTTGAAAGCAGAGAATTGTCCAAAATGTCATGGTAGGACGAAGCCATACAGTAAGCTTCGAGGGAACGAACGGGTCTAATCCAACCGCTGACTGATTAATGTTATTAAGAGATCTCCGTCACTCGTGTTGTTCCAAGCGTGATCCAAAATGGATGCTCAGCAACATCATCGGCAGGTCCGTGCAAGTTTGTACTTGTCTTTGTCAGCCCGTGCTTGCCACTCATGCGATACACACTCACACCTCTGTATGGTTCACCTGAGTAAACCTGCCCTGACCTGCCTCAACCTGCCCTCCTCATCCTTCACTTGCACATACATGCCTTTAATTTGCAAAAACATGCACTTGAACTGAACCACGCATCGCACACATTGACACCTGTTACTTGGCCTTAACTCTTTGTCGACAGCCAATGCACCCCAAGCCCGGAGGCACGTTTTTATCCGTGCGTGATTGGTTAAATGGTTTCTGAATAGGATTAGCAGGGACTTGCCAAGGGTCCGCTTGTGTGTCTCAGAAGACTCAAACAAGCAGAGTCAACCTCTGAATGCACGTCCGTTCATCCACATGGGCAGGATGGGGCCTTTTGAAGTCCACTCTGTTGCCAAGCTTGCTGTCGGGGTTTTTTTTTCCCCCTCCCTTTCCTCTCCGTGCACCTGCTCCACAACTGCATGAAAGGCGCTCAAATATGCCCACGGTCTTCACGGCGCATGAGTCATCCTTGTGTCAGTGTTTCATAATGCAACTCCCCCAGCAGATTTGATCAAAGAAGCAGTCTATGAAACAAACTCAGAAAAGGAATCTCTGAATGTTTTTTTTTTTTTTTGCTTGTGAGGATTATACAAAGCTATTGACTCACTCCTTTTCTCTCTCTCTCTCTCTCTCTCTCTCTCTCTCTCTCTCTCTCTCTCTCCCTCCCTCTCTCTCCCTCTCTTTTTTAAGGGAATGCACTGACCTTTACATCACATTCATGAATTTTGAAATTCTGAACATACCATTTTCCAACTCAATCCACTTCAGTTTAGTTCAATCCAATAACCCATGTGTCTGCAGACAAGCGCTCTGAGAGCAAGTCCCCAACAGCTCTCCCCTTCAGCATAATTTTCTGCGCCGCGGAGTTCCTCCGATAAACCACTTAACTCAGGGGTGTCAAACTCATTTCACATGGTGGGCCACATACGGCCTCGGTAGATGTCAAGTGGGCCGGACCATTAAAATGATACAATACTTTGCTATAAATAACCAAAACAATATGTCTTTCCTTTGTTTTGGTATAAAGAAGCACAAGAACATTAGGAAAATGTTGAAATTTAATGAACATATATTTTACAAAACATTTCATGAAGCACCTTACATTTCCTTCGACAAATGTGCAATTTACTTTTATCATTCACATATATGCATTGCAACTGATCCCACTGATTGTACAAACTTTAACAAGTAATTGGTATTGAAAAATATAGTAATGCACTTTAAGATTAAACAAGATTCATAAAGAAAGCAAGTTTTAAAGCATTTACACGTGCATATAAAATCTAAATGTAATCCCTGCCTACACCTTACAAAC